CCCAGAGGAACTTCACGGGGCGGCTGCCCCGCTCCCCGAGCAGCCGGGCCATGTGAGCGTGTGCGGGGGGGCCCCCCAGGGCTGGCCGGCCGCCTGCCACATAGCAAGGCACACAAGAAAGAGGCCGCTCAGCCCGCGAGAGTGCTCAGGGTGTCCAGAGTAGAAAGAAGGGGCACCCCGCCCCCAGGCTCCCCAGGAAAGACCCCCACTCAACCAGCAGGGACAGCTCAGGCCCCCGCACCCGTGTCCAGAGCCAGCCAGGGGAGGGGCGAGGTGGGGCTCGACCCCAGACCCCTGGCCTCCAGCTTGCTGGGCCCTGGCCCTCCTCGCTTCTCTCCCCATGACACCCCGAGCTGGTGGTCTGGGGGCCCGGCGCCCCATCGAGCCCATTCCCCACAGCAAAACAGACCCTACAGAGGAGCCAAGGCTCAGGGTCCCACCGCTGGGTCACCCCGCCCGCCGCAGCCCAATCCCCCAGGCTCCAAGAGTGGTCCCCAGCTCTCCTGCCCTGGCCAGGCCTCCCCGCCACACAGCAAGTGTCTGAGTCACCCCGAGTCTCCCCCAGCACCGCTGGCCTGCGTCCCCACTGACCCACCATGTGGCTTCTGCTGCAGAGGGCTCCCAATAGGACAGCAACCCAGGGGCTCTTCCTCAAGTCATGAGACCCCTCACCCCGGGAGGTGACGTGGGCATCCCAGCCCAAAGCAGGCATGGCTGCAGGTGGTCCGTGGCCTGGGTGCGGGGGAGCCTCAGCTGTCCCACATGAGCGGAGCTGCAAGGTCCCAGGCCGGGCCCCGTCCGGCCTCACGGGGACCCCAGCCACTCCCAGACTTGGGCATGCCCAGGAGCGTGGGGGGACAGGCAAGTCCAGGAGCCCAGGTGGGAGGCGGCATGGGCCCGGGAGACGCTTACCTAGGCAGGTCCTGCCGTCCACGTGGAGCCGGAAGCCGGGTTTGCACTCGCAGAGGTAAGAGCCTGGCGTGTTCACACACTTGTGATGGCAGCCGCCACTGTGCACCTGGCACTCGTCCACATCTGGGCAGGGACAGGGGGCCGAGGGTTAACGGGCAGTACCCACCCAGGCGCTGGCCCCAGGGACCCCAGCAGGACCCCGCATGAGGACACCACCCCAGGCCCAGGTGCCAGGACCCAAACCCAAGACCTTCCCTCTCGGACCAGGCCTGCGACAGTCCCCAAGCCCCTCGCCCACGCCTGCCAGGCAGAGCAGAGTCGGCAGGATCCTAACCCACACTTAGCCGGCCTGCTGCGGGGGAGAGTGGGGTCCTGACCTCTGGGGTCAGCCAGTACATGGGGAACAGGGTCTGGCCAACGTGGTGGCTGCAGAGGGGCGCGGGCTCAGGCGGGGCGGCCCCTCCCCTGCTGCCTTTCCAGGCTGACCCTCCTCGGGGTCCGGGAGCCCAGAAGTGGAAACCCGTAACCCGGCAGATGGCTCCTCCCAGTCTTGGGGCAAAAGCCCGAGATAGCAGGGCAGTGGGCATGTCCTGGGTTGAACAGAGTCTCCCCAAACCCACATCCATGTGGAGCCTCAGACTGTGACCTTGTCTAGAAACAGGGTCTTTGCAAACGCAACCAGTTAAGGACCAGACAAGAGAGCACGAGCCAACAGAGGGCCCCAAGTCCAAGCCTGGGGGGGCGGGGGTGGGGGGCAAGGCAGCCCCGAGCCCAGGAGCCCGGGAGCCACCGGAGCTGCAAGGGTGAGGAAGGGAGGGTCGTCCCCGGGGTCGGAGGAGCTGCAGCCGACACCGTGATCTCGGACGCCCGGCCCCCCAGAGCAGAGACGGGGTAAGTATCCGCCGTGGATTTCATTTCGGCGGCCCCAGGGAGCTGGTGGTGTCCGCCTGGGGTCCTCCGGCAGGCTCCCCGTGTTGGGGACACAGGTCAGCACAGCAGACGTTGCCAGGACAGGATCTAGCGGAGGTCCCGAGCACTCCACTGCCAGGAGACAGGTCACACCTGAGGCCACTGCCCACCTGCACAAGACACCTGTGCCACCTTCTCCCCCACCCCCACGCTGCTGCACTGTGCCACAGGCCAGAGAAAGGACTGATGAGAAGCAGACAGGCCAGCCCAGAGGTGCCCAGGGAGTTGGAGGGGTGGCAAGACCCCCCACCCCAGTTTGGAGGCACAGGGAGCTGCACTCCAGGAGGGTCACCTCCTTTGCAGAGGTGAGGAGAAGGTGCCGGGTACCCTCACCCCCTCATCCCTCCCTCCAGGCCGAGACTTCCGCCAGGCTGGGCCTCCAGGCAGCCTGGGAGGCCAGGCAGCGACTGATGACTGATGGCAGAAGGGAGCTAGGACGTCGCCGGCTGCCCCAGGCACCGGTGTGTGAGGCCAGTGCCAGGAGGGACCCAACCGCCTGGGAGAGGGAGGCGGGGGCCTCTGATCCCACCGCACGGAGACGGCAGGGCCCTGGGCGCCGGGCATGGCCACGTGTCCTCCGGCCAGATGCCAGCTTCCCAGACCCGAGGGGAGGGCTGCCAGGAGGCACGTCCAGGGGAGAAACACACAGACACTCTGCTCACAGGGGTCCACTAGCCGAGCGTTTGGGGCAGCCGGGCGTCCGGGCCTGGAGCCCAGCCAGGCTGGCAGAGGCCGCAGCCTCCTTCCGAACCAAAGGGCTAGCGCAAGATGCCCGTCGGCTCTGCTGGGACAAAGCAGGTTCCGGGGGCCGAGGCCGCAGCTGTGCGGGGACTGCGGCCGGACGAGCTGCTCCCAGGGGTGCGCGGGGCCCCCGAGGGGCGACCTGCTCCCAGGGGTGCGCGGGGCCACAGTCTCCCTCTAATTCTGCTCAGTAATCGGCCAGGTGCAGGCCGTCCGCAGCCCCCAGGAACACGCCCCCTCCAGGCTTCTCCCCAAGAACTGAGCACACCCGAGAAGGTGCCAAAGGTGGCACACGGGGGTGGCTCTTCTGGGCGTCCCCAGAGCCTCCCCACCGGACTATGCTTCCCACACGCACGAAACCCTTTCAGCAATCCACGCTCCGAGACCGTTCCCGGGGCTCCAGAACAAACCGTCCGCAGCCCCCAGGAACACGCCCCCTCCAGGCTTCTCCCCAAGAACTGAGCACACCCGAGAAGGTGCCAAAGGTGGCACACGGGGGTGGCTCTTCTGGGCGTCCCCAGAGCCTCCCCACCGGACTATGCTTCCCACACGCACGAAACCCTTTCAGCAATCCACGCTCCGAGACCGTTCCCGGGGCTCCAGAAATGGCACGCACAAATCCCGGGAGCCAGGATGTCTGCCTGCGACTCCAGGGCCATGTGCTCCACGCGCGAGCCACGTCCACTCTGAGGAGACTCCTGAAGTCCCTCCCAAGCCCTGAGGCTGCCACGTGTACCCTGGTAACCCGTGGGCATCCTCAGAACAAGCCAAGATTAGCAGGAAGGAGATAAAAGGCAAACGTGTAACAGCTCCCCAAAGAGCCCCAGGGGACAGAGGGACCGAGGCTGCTGCGGAAGGTCTCAGGTCACTGGGCCCTCTGTGGGCGGTCAGCCGGGGGGACTGGGTGGAGGGGCAGACCCACACCCACTGGGTAGGCTGGGGCAGGGCCAGCAGCACCCCCGACGGGGGTCAGAGGACAGACCCCTCACTCTGAGACCCCTGCGAGGTAAAGATGTGACTGCACAGGCACAGCACTGGGTATGGGGGCGCATAGTGAGGCTTTGGGGGAGAGGAGCCGTGTGTATTGTCCGACGGGGCGGGCAGGCAGACCCGGCCTCTACGTCCTGAGCGGCCTTGCCCAGCAGGCAGGTGGGGCAGGGAGCGAGAGCACCAATGTGCCCAGATGCGGCCCCAGAGGCAGGCACGGGGCGACAGGGCCCCTCCAGCCCGCTGGCCCTGACAGCCAGGCCTCCCTGCCCTGCTCCCACCTGCCGCCCACGTGACCCGGGCACCTCTCGCCCTCCTGCTGAGCAGAGGGGACGTTAAGACTCCGGCATCCCGCCCTCATGCCTGGCATTCGGGGCCTGCCACGCGGGGGACGCAGGTAGGGAGCACTGAAGACGATGTACTGCTGACCGTGAGAAGGAGAAAGGACCATGAGCCAAGGAACGCAGCACCCCTAGAAGCCGGGAAGGGCGCGATTCCCCCCGGGACCCCCAGAAGGGAGACCCCCGCCGCACCTGGACTTTAGCCCGTTTCGGATGTCTGATCTCAGAATTGTAAGGGACCAGACTTGTGCTGTGGTGGCACTTGGTCACAGTGGCCACAGGAAAATGACACACAGCGCGTCACTGCTATCGCTAGAGGCCTCTCCAGAGCTATGAGTCACGGGGTTCAGCCCACCGAGCTGGGAGCCAGGCCCCTGACTCCCACAGTGGGGTCTGCCAGCCCTCTGCGGGGCTGGCTGCTCCCTGGGCGCCTCTAGAAGTCTCATTCCCCTGGTCCCGGCCCACAGGCTGGCCCTCACTGCACACAGGGACTCTGCAGTGGGCCCAGTGCCCTGGGACACCCCAATGGCGGGGCCCCCCAAAAGCATCGGTACCTTAGACAAACTACAGCAGAAGACTGCTCTCTCTGGGCATCACGGCAGTGTGGGCACCTCAGGCTGGATGAGAGCTCGGGGGCCGCCTCTCTGCCATGGCCACCCCTCCCTCCAGGGACACCGCCTGGCCCAGGGCAAACCTGCTCCGCGCTCCCCAGCCCGGGCCCAGCCGCCACACCACTGGTGCAGCCTCGAAGCCCAGCTCTGTGCCTGGGCTGCAGCCGTGAGGTCAGTGACAGCAGGCCAGTCCTAACCGGGGCAAGTTTAGGGAACAGCCGGGCCGGGCCCGGGTTCCACAGGAAAGTCCCCGTGGCCCTCGTGCTGCCCTTAGCTGACGTACACACCAGGCACTTGGCAGTTGGTAACAGGAACGGCCACGCGCTGGCACTGGGGGACACATTACTCTGTGAACACTGGGCCAGGTCCCCGGGAAGCCTGTTTGGCCCTGTGGTGTCAGCTGAGCCAGGGGATGGTAGCGCATCAAAATGCCCATCAGGCTGTTGAGAGCCTGTGGGGTCTCTACGACTGTCACCTAGTCACACCAGCCCCTGGTCTAGAGACACACAGCCACGGTGCAGTCGGCTGCCCACACGGAAATCACCCCAATAAGCCGGTTCTGAAGCCTCACCCACTCTTTTGAGAAAATCTGAGCCCTCTGGAACCCGGCCAGAGCTTTCCAGAGCTTTCGAGTTCAGATTCCTGCTTTCCCCACAAACACACCACAGGGTCCTCACCCCAGAGAGCGCACTCCCTCATCCGACGGCTCTTCCCCTCCCCCCTTCCCCCTCCACAAGCCCCAGCCAGCCTCAGAGAGGACAGGGCGCCGGCTCCCAAGGCAGAGCCCCGCCCAGCCCCAGACTTCAGATGCCACACAGCCTCGTGGCATGCAGTGCCACCCGTGGGGGGGTGAGAGCACTAGCCTGGTCTTGGGGTTCCTATGGGGACCGAGCCTGGGTCCCAGCTGGCCGAGTGATGAAGCCAGAAGAGGCAGAAGACTTTGCCCCATTGAAGGGCCTGCAGCCCAAGGCTCTGGGTGCCCTCTGGCACGGAGGGAGGCAGGGACTGGCCCAGGGGACAGCTGAGGGGGGCCGATGTCTCTGATGTGTCTGAGCAGGCCAGGCGCCCTGCAGAGCCGCGCTTGGGGCCTGGCAGGGTCAGGAGGGAGCGCCTGCGGCCAGGGATCCAGGTGATGACTCACAGGGAGCTGCACGCCACACCCCACCACAAATTCCTGAGGATGCCTGGTTCCAAGCTCCCTGGAGCGCCCTGCAGGGGGGCTGGCCCGGCGGGGAGAGGCAGATGGACCCGGGGCAGGGTGCACCCACCTCCCACGGGCTGCTGGGGTCTCCTCAGCTGACCCTGCAGCCCACGGGGCTGACCATGCTCCCAAGGCTTGGGGACAGGGACAGGAAGAAAAACAGGCACCTGTCAAATCCACACACACACCCCAGGGGTCCGAGGCTCTGGGGACTCTGGAAGGTGGGACCCTGCTCTAGGTGCCCAGGGGCCTCTCTCTAGAGCTTTCATCTGGCTTGACCCCCTGACCGCCACTGCCGTGGGCCCACCGGCACAGGCAAGGGGAGGTTTTCTTCCCTCTGGACGGACAAGCGACCACCTGCTGTCAGCAGCAGCCCAGCAGCCAGCCCAGGAGGGGTCAGGGATGTCCGAAGACTCAGGGCCCTCGGGCACTGCGCCCGCCCCGCTCCCTCCAGCCTCCGCGCTGTCAGCGCGCCCGGCGCAAACTTTAAAAAGAGGGAACAA